TTTAACTCTGCGTTGCAGAGTTGGACGTCTGTTGAAGAATGCACAGTTCGTCTGCATTTTGAATTTGGGAAACGCAGATGTGGACCTTGCGTTTTGAATTTGAGAAACGTAGAAGTGAGTTCTGCGTTTGAGAGAGGTTGTTGACTTGTAACCTCGTCCATTATAACACTGCAAAGGCCACTGATTATTGATCTTTGCCTGTTATAGGATATGAGAGTCGTCAGATTGTAACTCTCACTGTTGATTGTGAAGGTCACTGAATAGAGTTTTCATCAGCTGTCGGAAGCGTCGTTGAATTGTAACTCTTCTCGATCTGTGTGAAAAGTCTCCTATTTGCAACCTTCGTTTGTCGGCACGAAAGCTATTTGATTGTAGCTTTCATTGTTGAAACTTGACGGGAATCAACCATCCATAGTGACTTTTAGACGAATATTTGCCCACAGCTCTCTACCAAGCAACTCACCAGCTGAGTCCAACCTTTTATTTCTGAAATCATTACACTGCTCATCAGCATCTCTAATAGTTGTTAATATAATATTAGTCATGCTGTTGTCGCAGCCATCAAGATCAATCATCTCAGAGATGAGGTCGTGTTCGTAGCGGTTGTAGGGTTGCGGATGCAGTGATTAGAAAGTCGTCTGATTGTAACTTCCATTGTCGGGGCTTTATGGGGATCGACTATCTATTATGATTTTTAGACAGCCTACAATAGCTCTTGTTCTTTCCAACAGAGTTCTATTCATCCGCTCCGTCACTCCATTTTGTTGAGGAGTATAAGCAGTGCTGAATTGTCTTTTGATACCTTCTTTCTTGCAGAATGCTAGGAATTCACCGTCTGTGTATTCTCCTCTATTATCTGATCTCAAACACTTGATCTTCTTCTCAGATTCAAGCTCGACCCACACTTTGTAGGCTTTAAAGACTAAGAACACATCCGCCTTCTTCTTGATAGGATACACCCAACATCTCTTGGAGTAATCATTAATAAAGGACACAAAGTAATTTTCTCCTCCCAAGGATGTAACCGGTGCTTGCCATACATCAGAATGAACCAGTTCTAGAATAGCCTTACTTATAGAACTCGATGTGTTGAACTTCAGTCGATGTTGCTTACTTGTAACACAATGCTCGCAGAAATGGAAGAGCTACTGAATTAAGTCCAAGAAACAGCTTCTGATCGGAGAGAATCTTCAAGCCTCGTTCTGACATGTGGCCTAGTTTGCGATGCCACATCATGGTTTGTTTTTCTCCACGGCTGGTTGTTGTCACACATGAATCAGCTTCCTGTAGGGTTTCTCCCATGAGCATGTATAGATTTACAGCTATCTTCTCTTCTTTTATAACAACAAGCGCCCCTCTAACAATCTTCATGATCCCATTTGCTAAATGGGTCTTACACCCGAGCTCATCTAATTATCCTAAAGACAATAGAATCTTCTTCAAGCCCTTCACATATCGCACATCTTGAATAGTACGTATTGTACCATCAAACATTTTAATTTTGATAGTACTAATACCATAAATCTCTAAGGCATGATCATTCCCCATGAATACAGATCCTCCTAAGATAGGTTCATAGTTGTTAAACCATTCTCTCCGGGAGGTCATGTGCCAGGAGGCTGCTGAATTCAGAAGCCAGACATCAGCAAACCTCTTTCTGCCTTCATCAACAGTGGTTACTCCACTGAATAGAATTTCACCATCGTCTGATGTGCTGACAACGCATCCTTGAGATGTTGATGGCTCTGAAGACTTTTTATCTCCACTCTTCTTATTGTGCCAACACTCCGATTTGATGTGCCCTCTTTTGCCACAGTTATAGCATTTGACATTCTTCTTACTTCTTGATTTGGATCTACCATGGGTATGACTCCCACTGGAACCATGTTCCGTTGATCTTCCTCTAGTCACCGTTAAAGCCTCCGCTTATTGAAAACTTGTCTGCCTGTCTTCCTTGCTCTTGCGCCGATTTTCTTCCTCTAGAACAGAGGTTGCAACGTCGTCGAAGACTAGATTGTCCGTGAGGATATTGTTTGTCAGGTTGATGATGAGTTGATCATACGAGTCAGGTAGACTCTGAAGTAGAAGTTCTGCACGTTCATTCGCACCAACTGTATACCCCAACGTTGTGAGTTGGGAGAACAATATGTTTAGGTTGTTGAAGTGGTCGGTCATCAATGTAGATTCTGCCATCCTAAGAGTGTAAAGTCTCCTTTTTAAAAAGATTTTATTGTGCATGGATTTCGCCTCATATAGCTTTGTTAGAGTATCCCAAATCTCCTTTGTTGTCTTCTTCTCCTCTATGCTTGACAGCACTCCGTCTGCTAATGCCAGATGGAGATTTGTAATAGTATTTTCATCTATCTCGTTCCACTTCTTATCATCCGTGATGTCGTCCGGCCTTATACTGATGGCCGCCAGGCAATTATCTTTTCTCAAGATAGCATTTATCTTCAACTTCCACAGAGAAAAATTACTCTCGTCAAATTTCTCGATCTTAAACTTTGCCGTCATTGCTTCTACCACAAACAGTAACTTCTTACTATCTCACGTAAATAGTAACTATATTTATGAACAGTAACTATATTCTTGAATAGTATCGTACTTGTGAATAGTATCGAATTTATGAACAGTACCGTACTCGTGAATAGTATCTGTCACCTTCAAAGGGTAAATGATAACCTAACTTATTTTCTGATGTGGACGATCCACCTTTGATGGTAGCCACTAAGCATACGATAAGTAGATATATACAATCACCCTAAGTTAGCTCTGATATCACTTGTTGGGACAACCCCGGGGCCTAATAGAGCAGGATCGCAGCAATAGTAGAGCAAAAGTAGAGATAAAAAATTAAACACACAGATTTACGTGGTTCGGCACTTGATTGCTTACGTCCACGAGCAATGATAGAAGAATCCACTATGAGGAGAAAACTCTGGAGTTACAATCTCTCTTTACAAGGAGATACTCTCTCTCTGGAGTTACAATATCTCTTTACAAGGAGACACACTCTCTCTCTCTCTCTCTATTTTTCTCTCTCTCGCTCTTCTATAAGAGAAGTTGTTTCTAGGATGAGTTTTTCCTTAAGAATTTGGAGCCTATTTATAGGGTTTGGAAAAATACTATGCATAATAAAATATTAATATTTTACTATGCTGTGGGGCCCGCTATTTTTTGTTTTCTTTTCCTCTTCAAACTTTGCTGCTGTCCAAACGCCCCTTTCTTCCTCTTTTCAACATTTGTGGCTATGGCCACTTTCGATACTATGGCTGCATTAGGCGCTTGACATAAATGAGTTGTGATAATCATGAGTTTATACTATTTTTGCGCTACCACAAACTAAAGAGTGTTCATGGTGATGACTCACAATTTTTCTTTGACAATTTTTAAGAAAAGAACTCACAATTTGTTAGTGATTGCGCAAAAATTATATAGAATATGTTCTTTAGTAGTACAAAAGTTGTGAAGCCCCCTACCTCTTGTCTTGCGTCGAGTAATGACATTGATTGATAGTGTTTAGAAGGTAAGCCTTGAGATTCAAGTGTAGCATCGGCTAGTCAATTTTAGTAGCGGTTTGAGCTAGACAATACGCTATTCTCAGTGGGTCCTACGGCTTACACCATGTCAACAGACTCATGGGCCCGGGGCGTGACAAATAGTATCATATTAGTTTGCTAGCCGGAAGTGTGAAACTAAATGATATGGAGGGCTAAACGCGCAACACTTAGTGGGTTGACGAGCTTGCGAGCCCAAGGCAAGACAAAAATAGTATGGTTGGCATGACCCAAAATATGTCAGTTGATACATAGAAGGATTCCTGGTAATGCATCAAAGATGTTTTATTAATGGCTAAAAGATTCACACATGAGTATGCAGAGTTGTTCACACCAAATGGGAGGTTTATAGCCAAAAATCATTATCATCAAAAGTTATCTCTTTACAAGGAGACACACTCTCTCTCTCTCTCTCTATTTTTCTCTCTCTCGCTCTTCTATAAGAGAAGTTGTTTCTAGGATGAGTTTTTCCTTAAGAATTTGGAGCCTATTTATAGGGTTTGGAAAAATACTATGCATAATAAAATATTAATATTTTACTATGCTGTGGGGCCCGCTATTTTTTGTTTTCTTTTCCTCTTCAAACTTTGCTGCTGTCCAAACGCCCCTTTCTTCCTCTTTTCAACATTTGTGGCTATGGCCACTTTCGATACTATGGCTGCATTAGGCGCTTGACATAAATGAGTTGTGATAATCATGAGTTTATACTATTTTTGCGCTACCACAAACTAAAGAGTGTTCATGGTGATGACTCACAATTTTTCTTTGACAATTTTTAAGAAAAGAACTCACAATTTGTTAGTGATTGCGCAAAAATTATATAGAATATGTTCTTTAGTAGTACAAAAGTTGTGAAGCCCCCTACCTCTTGTCTTGCGTCGAGTAATGACATTGATTGATAGTGTTTAGAAGGTAAGCCTTGAGATTCAAGTGTAGCATCGGCTAGTCAATTTTAGTAGCGGTTTGAGCTAGACAATACGCTATTCTCAGTGGGTCCTACGGCTTACACCATGTCAACAGACTCATGGGCCCGGGGCGTGACAAATAGTATCATATTAGTTTGCTAGCCGGAAGTGTGAAACTAAATGATATGGAGGGCTAAACGCGCAACACTTAGTGGGTTGACGAGCTTGCGAGCCCAAGGCAAGACAAAAATAGTATGGTTGGCATGACCCAAAATATGTCAGTTGATACATAGAAGGATTCCTGGTAATGCATCAAAGATGTTTTATTAATGGCTAAAAGATTCACACATGAGTATGCAGAGTTGTTCACACCAAATGGGAGGTTTATAGCCAAAAATCATTATCATCAAAAGTTATCTTGTATTATCTTAACACCCTCAAATAAAAATCCTTAATGTCTATAAATTTAAAGCTTCAATCAGATCAAGTAGAAGAGCACAATATCAATAAAATACAGAAGTCCATGCCATCAGAAGTGAATCTCGCTCAAAGCACAAGACCAAGCCTCAAAAGCTTAGCTTATAGATAATGCAAACAGAAAAACAAAACTCAACTTAATACAAAACATTTTGCGTCAAGAAAGGATGCACTTTATCGAGAGAGAGAAAAAAAATCACAATATTCTTCCTCAATTATATCTGCACAAGTCCGAGGAGTCCATCTAAAAAAGGCCTTCAAGCCACTCAAAACTCCTTGGAAAGTAACGAAAAAATTCGGAACAATGAAAGAGATCCTCCCTAAAAATACTCTCAAGGTGGTTTTCATCTTCCTTAAGATAAAACCATGTCATTCTATCTGATCCTATGTTTATCTACTCTTAGGATATCATCAACCTAAGCTGACAATATCCATCCTTGGAAACAAATCATCCAAAGGAACCAAACATATGGGATTGTTGCTGCTCTTTCTGCTCTCTTTGCTGCTACTGCTGTTGTTCATAAAACTGCTGCTGCTGCTACTATCATTGCTGTCATAGTTGCAGACCATCTTAGTAACATTGTCCAGTGTGCCATCTCGGTAAACAAAAATCCCCTCATCATCAAAGCCACAATCCCTCATTGGACGGTAGGATGAGTGAAAGATCATGTCCTGAGCTCGGATAGTCATGGACCTGAGGGGTGGGGGAGTTTAGTCGAATAAATATCAATGACAATGAGCATAAACTTCAAATTTAGTAGTGAGCTACTGACAAAAAAGAAATCTCAAATCCTTCTTATGTTAGCCACTCTATTGCTGAGGTGAGGTACCATCAATGAAGAATTGCTAGCATTAACTTGATGAACTGACATTGCTTCGTCCTGGCAAATTTTGTTATAATATATATTGCAGGCTGAGGTCTTATTGTCCATAAAATACCTAAACATTTGGAAGGAAAAACAACTTTAATATGTAATAACAGTCATAGGATGGTCGACAAAACAATGTCCTAAGCCCTCATTTTCAAGTACGCATGTACGTACAAACATTCGCATGTAGTGACGATTGCAGGATTTCTTGAAAGTGGTGTCACCATATAACTAATAATTCACACAGATATATACTTAAAGTGAGCAAATCCACCACATTTATTAGGTCAATTACGTACTTTCAGAGCATTGTAGGATTTTTTTTTTTTAAACCTCCATAAGTAAACTTGTAAAGAAGCAGCCTAATAAACAAAATAGATATCTCCAATCATTAAAAGACGAAAGTGACAAGATCAATTAAATACGTTTAAAGGATTGTAGCATGAAGTTGTAAACCTTTTACTTTAAACTTGAAATATTAGCAAGCAGATACATAAAAAAGAGGCGTCCAACCATAACAAAGGCCTAAATACTCTAAATCCACAAATAACCAATCAAATAATGGCACTATACAAGTAACCCCTTGGAGGAAGTGGTGTCACATGACATCACTGCCTCTAAGGTGGTTCCGCCAGTGTTCATATTTATGTGTTTATATAATTGCGAGTGTGTGGGCATGCAAATATTTGTAGAATGCATAGCCTTGGGTATTTCTAGAAAATTTTGGGATAATCATTCCTATTCGATTTTCACATTTGGTAGACTATATGAATTATCCACTCAATATGAAATATCAGCTATGTTAAAGTTGATTTGTATTATGTGAAGTGCCTAACAACCAAATTCTAAGTTTATCTGAAGTTCTTTTAATCCATACATCACAAGGCACAAAATGAAGAGTCTAAATATCGACATAATTATTTTAATATTGTCAAATATTTAAGGCCTAATAAAATTCATCTTTAAGAATTACTAAGTGTCTAAATAAACTATTTGGATTGAAATATTGATAGCTTAAAGTGGAACTAAGGAAACGAACTTCGATTTTTTATTTTTATACACTTATAAATAATGTGGATATTTATATCATGATTAAGAGATTTGAGACTGATCATAATAGGAGTTAGTGTCCTATAACTGAGCAAGTTAGGCTAAGGATAGAGTTGCTTGGTTTCTCCCCATATAGCCTTCTATACACCAAAGTGAAGAAAACAGATTTAGTTTTGTGGATGAAGCCCTGAAACTGGTTGAGTTGACGGAGAGAGTTTTCTTAATCCATAAAGAAACCTAATTCTCCCAACAGTATCTGTGATCTTCTCTATTTTCTTCGAAATTAACATCCCCCAACAAGTGGTATTAGAATAATGTTGAAGGGTTTGTCGAGGTGTTAATTAATGCGATAAATAAGGGTGTCGGCTATCAAAGGTGTGACGAACAACACCAGAGACAAGAGAACTCTGAGGTGGCCTTTTCGGCGATTCATAGGTGCTACTAAGGTGCACGGTGGCTGCTTAGTAGTGATAGCAGACAGCCGCGGTGAACCACGGATGTCGAGAACTGTGGCGACAAGTTTCTCGCTAGGGCTTCTTAGGTGAATCGTAAAGTGAGAAAAGAAAAGAAAAACAGAGGCAACCGGACAAAGGTGTGACATCAGCCGACAAGTAGGGGTTCATTCGGTCCAGATACGGCTCAGATATGATACTTACCATATTCAAATCTGCTTACTCATCTCGGATACGGATACGGATATGCCCCCATAAGAAAAATTCATATTTGTGTCTGCTAAAATCAGATATGAATACGGATATACATGCGGATATATAAGCGGATATGCATATAGATACAAAACAGATATGAGAAAACTAGATAGTATTGAAAAATATAGTTTATGTGATGCAAAAGAGTTCCTTAATATGTTCGTTATATCTAAAAAGTTAAGATTAGACATCTTGATCATCAAAATTAACTTCAAATCATCGTAACAGTATGACTAATATGTATCTTGATATTTCGGATACGGATCCGGATATTTCACTACAAAACTATATCCATAACCATATCTTATCGGTTATACATTTGAGTAACCATATCCGTATCATAATGGATATGGTTTATAGATATTTCCTCAAATATGGATACAGTTTAGCACCCTTACCGACAAATCGCAAGACAGTGGAGATGGAGGGGTCACGAAAAATATAGTTTGCAAATTTTTTAGTTTCCTGTTTGCATAAGAATCATAAGGGAAAGTGAAGAGTAAATTAATGTGTTTGAAGCACTTAGATCCGATTTTAGGTTGATTTTGGTGCTTGGTGTACTAAATTTAGATTGGAAAGTCCAGGCTGTTTTTCTTAGTGAATTGGGAAATCAAAAGCGGATATTGACAATCAAGGAGTCAATTCCTAGGTTTTTTGGTGCTTTGATGGGGGTGAATGGATCTAATTTCAAGATTTTGCTCGAATTAGTCAAAAAATGCCAAGTGGTGATGGATCCTACTTTTACAAGTTTCATGATAAGGATGAAGGGTAATAAAAATTTACATGGAAGACAAGGATAAAAAGATCTTATATATTGCAAGGACTTGCATGGTGTGATAGAGGGTGGCAATGTGAAGCTAGCGGTCAGGATAAAGGTAGAAGAACAATGTAAGAAAGCTTGACAAGCATGTTGTTGGGTTCATAAGATAATTGGATAATCATTCCTTACTTCCATAATGTAGCTACTGAGACTCCAACTCTCTATAGAAAAAGCTAGGTCTATACAACAAACAAAAAAGACAAATAACAAGGTGTTTGTGACAAAAAAAATTGATGAATCTAAAGTACAAGCATTGTCCTCTATAGGTGACAATGTTTTAAGAAGCTCCCAACTAGCTCATCTAGCCCGCCTACGCTTCCTACCTAGGCCTAGGTGGTGCCTAGGCCATCAGCCTAAATCTTTGTAGCATCCAAGGGAGTGGAGATCGCTCACGCGGATTGCACCACTTAGGTACTTAAGTCTTCATCATGATTTTCTCCGTTGTTTCCTCCACGTCCTCTGACCTCTTGAACTCCTCTAACCTCCCCCACCAACTAAGAACACGTCTCCCACTCCAACCTTCAACAAGAACTCCTCCGCCACCATTTAAATAAGAAAAAAAACTCTCCTACGCCTAGCACTTACTAGACCTTTAAACAAAAAAAAACTCTCCTAGGCCTAGCACCTACTAGATGTTAGTTTGGCACCTAGCGGTGCCTAGCGCTTTCGATAATATTGATTATAAATTTAAAAAGAAAAAATACCTAGACCCCGTCTAGACGTCTAGGCTCTAAGCTCCTGGTCTAACACCCAAGCCGCCTAGCGTTTTCTTTCTGTAAACCTTAAAAAGTGACCATCTATATGAAATTCAAAGTATCGCTAGTCAATTCGCTTCTATGAATGTCCTTAAATGAGAATTGTAGCGCTGTTAATTTTCAGTTCCTTACCCTAGAGTTGAAGGATGTCGGTATTGTCTGTGTAGCTTAGCAACTTGGCACCAAACTGTGCTATCAGTATGAGTTTGGTGACAAGCAAGATGTTCAATAAAGAATAGAGAAGGAAGAATGCAAGGACATTTTGCAAAAAAGATATTTGGATGGTTTCCCACGGAGATAATATGCTCAGATCTGATAGTAGATACGGTGAAGTCTAGCGGAGATAAAGGACATAACGAGTCAGAGATCATACCCCCTGCATGTGGGTGGGCAATAGTTGGACATTGCTTGGCCAAAGGCCAGGGTTCGATGCTTGCTTCCTGTGTCCCTTAAGTGTCTTAGTAACCAAGTGTCTGGGTAGGGGTAAGTGGCCCAGCCCAGTGCACCCGGGGTTTACTGGCAATGGTGGGGGACTCGAATTCGGGATTCCGCTCGGGGATCCTCCTGCCTTGCTAGGTTTCCCTCATATCAAAAAATCAAGGAGGTCTAAAATATGATACTATTGTAAGAAGAAAATGGCATAAAAAGGCTACCTTTATTATAAAGAGATAAAAAAGCTGATGGACAAGGGATAAAAAAACTGATGGACATAGACCTTAATACTTTTATCTCTAATTAGTTTATTTTGGTAAATGAGATGACACCCATACCTAGTATTCCCTATATATGTGTGTCCACATTTGCATGCATGTGCGTGAAACTAAATCCTTTCGATATGAATTTGATATTTTCGAATGGTTGCTACAAGCTACTTATCCTTGTGCTAACTTTCCTAACATCTCTAACTCCAAATTCTAAAGGTCTGAAGATTTGGTGAGCAATGCTTTCACGGTTCATATACACGTATTGAAAATAAGAATCAAACGAGCTTTTACCTTAATGTTCACGCAAAACTTTGATCTCGTTGAACTAATCTTAGGACACCTCCGTCATAACAAATGTGTCGCCCGATGAAGATCCCTACCTAACAATGTCTTTCCCATTAAAGTTGATTGTGTTAGGGATTTTACTCCCTCAAGAAAAATTGAGAATATGACAAATATTATGATAAGAACTTTCTTTATTGATCAAGAAAACCTTCACTCTTCAATATTAACCCATTTTCAGGCTCCGTCTACAAGTATAAACCTATTTTCTCAGCTCGATTTCCAATAATTGAAGACTACATAGACAAACCAAGCAACCCTATCCTAGCCTAACTTCTGCAATTTGAAGAGGATATGAACTCCTTATACAAGGAATCAAAGATAATCAAAACAATCTCCACCTTACTGTTGATTCCTAAGCCATTTAGAAGGTTAATCATTGTCATCTTGAATCTTTACTACTACCATCTTCTCTCTCTTTGTACTTCAAACTAAAGCATTTGCACT